TGCGGGGGCTCCCAGCCCTGGAAACCTGTGATGAAAGTGCTCTCTTGTACAGAGCCGCCTTTGAAGGGGAGGCTGTGGCTGTCCTGCCCCCCCCCACACTCCCCCCACTGCTTCAACCCAGCGAGGGAGCCCATGTCCAATTGTCCACTGTGTCCCCGCACCGAATCAGTGTCTGTTCCAGGCCCCTCCCTGCTTAGCAAATTGATACAAACAGCTGTAAACACCCTCCTCTCACTTAGGGCGACTTTCATGAGTTAGCCAGATGCACCATGTGTCTTCAGACCAAATTGCTTTGTGTACAAATAAAATATTTACTTCTTTTCGTAAGGCTGTGCTTCACTTATCTCAAAGGAGATCGACAGATGTTAATAACGCTGCCTACTTGTAATATTAGATAAATGGAACAGATGACTCTGTTCAGGGATTAAGGCCAAGATAGTTAAATAGTCCCTTTTAATGTAACCTTGAAAGCTTGATTCTGACAGTAGAGCTTTTTAACAGCACAACTCTGGACAGCACACACCCATGATTCTTAATGGTGCGATCGTAGTGTTGAGGTCCTGGGTGTGTGTGTGCATCTGAAGTGTCAGAGGGTGTATCACACAGGCTAGAATTGTGGTTTGGGAGATCTGTAGTCTAGTCTTGGTCCTACTACTAACTAGCTATGTGACTTTTGTAACTCAAGGTAACCATTTATAAAATGATATGGACAAAAGTATCTCTAATGACTCTACAAGGCTTAAGGTAATACACCTGAAATTCTAAAGACCCTTTTCAGAAATGCTGAGGTTTCATTTTCATAATGAATTTTCATAATTATGTCTTCAGGAAATAAACTTATATGGTTCTTAACATGATACTCTTTTTTTCCCCTCAAGCAGCTTCAATAACCCCTCAGATGAATGATTTGGGAAAAGATATTTATACATCTATTTTGCTAATCTGATCTCAAAAGAAAATCCAAAAAGCCCAATGCACATACCTATATATAAAATATGTACTTATACATAAAAAATGTGCACAAGCTCTAGAGCAAAGTGGGATCATTCTAATTAAAGCCCCAACATGAAGACTTCCTGGATGTGAGAGCTATTGCTCTCCCTTAAATGCCCATCTCACTAACTTCAAAGAAAGGCTTAATTGGGCTATGAGATCATTCAACCTGTATATGCCCCCATAGGAAAAAGACAAATACTTGTGAACCATGGATAAAAACTTGGCTAATAAGAATAGTAACAATAATAAAA